TTATTTTAAGCTAAAATATAAAAGGCTTGGACCAGAGACAATTAAAGTAGGAATGTGTTTGAGCAAAATTTGGCTGCTAGCTACATAAACTTGTGAGAAGGTGCTGCTTAAGCTTTGAGGAATTTAAGTGAATTCAGTATCTCTTTAGGCCACTATTGTTTCCATTTTTATTACTTCAGGTGTTTACCATCAAGCACTGATGTTGTTGGGAAGGACGGGGGACAGGGTTTAGAAATCTACTGGTAATAATGAGTAGATGGTGTTTTTAGTGTTCCAGAAAGCTGTGGCTTGGGGGCAGAGGTTATGGCCGTGGTGGTGGTTTTTGTTTTGCCATTTTTTTAAAGAGTTTGGAAAAGCTTAGAAAATGCCCTCTGTAGAAAAAGGTGTTTTGGAGCAAGTGGTCATAGTCTTTTTCTGATATCTTTTATGGGCTTTTCACGGAAAAGCTGACTTAAGCAAAGAAATTGCATTTTAAAGGCTGTAAATTGAAAACAAACAGAAAATGAGACTTAGAGTATTTTTAGTGTTTGCTGTTGCTTGTATCACTTCTGTTAATAGTGACCTACTGTCTGAAAAGAGGAAACCAGGATACGCAAGCTTGAAGCTGGAAAAATTTGATCCTTTAATGTCCTCATAGTGAGAGTGACTGAAACTGTACGGATTCTCATGAATCTGATAAATTTGCTTCTTGCCAGGTGCTTGAAAGGATAAAGGTTTTCTGCTGAGAGGGATCTGTGTATACCTCTTAAAAGAAAATACCCTGTTCAGCATAAGTGAGGAGGAAAGGAGACACTGATTCTTCTAGCCTTGAAATCTGTGGATATGAATCTTCATCCTTTTCCTTTGGGCCATGAACATGCTAATAACATTTAAAGTTTGACTAATAACTATTATAATCAGCCTTCAGGGTTTCAGTTGCCTGTAGGAAGGAAGAAATTATTTCCCTAATGTGTAATTTGGCTTCTTGGCTGCTGATTTGTGCAGTGGCAGATCACGCTGTGACAGCTGAAATGCGTCCTACCCCAAATGTTACGTTGGGCCCCTCTCGTAGCAGTTGCCGGTCATGTGGCGGGGGTGACCGAAATGGCACAGTCAGCAGTTCTTAACACTCTGGAATAGTAAACTGCAGCAAATTAAAGTATTGGCTACAGTATTAGACTGATAATGGAGCATGATGGTGTCAGCCTGGACTTTGGGAAGACGTTTTTCCAGGAGAAATTGTTAGGGATGTTGCAGAAACAGTCATCTTCCTCTGTAGCATGGGGAATGGTTCACCTAATAAAGCATGCCCAGGTGATCTCATACTTAATTGCTTGCAGAGTCTTTTGGCATTGGTAATAACCTGTTCTCTATTGGTGACACACATATTTTGCGTAAAAGGACAGAAAAGCCTATTTTCAGACTTGCACTGCAGAAGTTTGTGAACTTAACTTAGCTCAGGTAGTACGAGTGCAAATGGTGAGCAACTGCTGCTCATTCTGGAATGGGCAAGTACTCGGAAGGAAGCATTCTGCTCTTTGGGAACTGTCTGCATTTCGCTTTGAAGAAGCCTTTGTCCTCCCTGTGGTCCATATTGGAGAGTTTGAGAGCTGCTCTTAGAGGGATTTGGGTGCTGCTTTATGACTCATCAGTGGAGCTTTTTTAAAATGCAATTGGCTTTGCCTCATTTGAATGAGGTGACTCGTTGCTTCATCCTGAATTGGGAGTCTGAGAAGTCAGTTGCAAAAACAAGCTTTCATCTCATGAAGGTGTAGGTATTTACTTGTCATTTCCTTGCTTTGAAAGAACCGATAAAGTAGAAACAAAGGCTTGAAAGTTAGTCTAAAACAAAGCAAAAGGTATAACTGCAGAAACTTCATCACAGTCTGAGCTGAGATGTGACTGCCGCGAAATGGCCAGCAGCCAAGCTTTGCACGCATCTGACTTCACCTGGCACTAACTGTCATCTGGTCTCTGAAAACATTTCTTAAATGATAGAATGATGAACGGCACTGCTATTCAACAGTGTCATCCACTCAAAATGTCCTGTAACATCTGGTGCTTTGTTCAGAAGGTGCAACAGAGATGAAATAACTGCAGAGTGGCTGAGAAAGTGGGGTTTACAGAAGGGCTGCCTGTGTTCAAGCTGCTTGGGTAGAATGCTTTGGCTTGTTTCTCTGAGCTTGTGTGCGTGTTATCCTTACGGAAAAACTGTTGCTACTTTCTGCTCTTTGTACCTGGAGCGTATCATATTTAAAATGGGGAAAAAGCCTCAGGAAAATACTAAGAATTTGTAATTTTATGTAAAAACATACATTTGAAGAAATAACCTTTTGTGTTTTACTGGTTGATGATAGATTATGAATATGAAAAGCTGTTTTCTAATGAATTTTTTTTTGTGCCTGGTGTCACAGTCAAGTTCTGTGTATTGTTTGTTTCCAGAGCAGAAAACTAGAAAATGAAAGAATGCCAAAAAGCCCAACCTCTGAAGTGCAATACCTTTTGAATGTTAGGACGGTGTGCTCTTATTGATAAATTCTTTTATTAAATTGTGTTTGTTAAACTTGCGATAACTCAAATACATGAGAAAACATAATTTCGTTCTGGCTTTGTCCCTAAGTAAAAAATTGAGAATTTTCCTGCCATATCGGCTAATCTGTAATTTGGTTTGGTGTTGGGTTTTGTTTTTGTGTTTTTTTTTTTTTTTTTTTTTTTTGCACGGAGGATACGCATGACATTTTTATGAAGTTGTGATTAACTGTCATACTTTGCTTTCTAACCTAACATGTCAAAGCTTCATCTTCTTACTTCTTGTGCTGCAGTTCACGTAGAGATTTTTGAGTGGTTTTAAAGACAAAATTAAACAGTGACTTGAATGTCCTACATATGTATTGCCAGTTAAATTGACAAGAATTCACTTGTTTTTTTCTAGGATTAAACTTTAAACTGATAGACCTACTCCAGTAATTTAAGTTTTAAAAGCCCAAATCTTCATAAGCTGTAGGACTTCATCTTGTAACAGCTGTTTAAATGCTGTTTTGGTTTTGGGTTTTTGGTTTTTTGGTTTGTGGGGTTTTTTTTTAAATATCTTGCCCTATGCTTTGTATCATTCTTCAATATAAATGATTGACCAACCCCCAATTCTTGGATTACGGATGACTTGTTTGTCTTGAAAATAATGAAGGTAATAACAATAAATATGCAAAAAAAATTTTCAAAGATATTGCTGACATGACAGACTAGTACTGCTCATGCCACTGTTAATATTGCAGGACATGCATATTGTTTATAATCTGAGGGCCCCTGCCCTCCCCTCTGTGGTGATTTTCACACTTCCACATGAGCTGGGCTTTCTCAGGCTGTGTCACTAAACGTTAGAATTCTGAGGTGCGGTAGCTTGGAAAGTAACTATATAGAATTTTGTTGTCTGGGGTTTTTGTTTGTTTCGTTGGTTCTTTTTGTGTACCAAAAGAGACTTTTGGAGACGATAGCAGCAATTGTTGGTTTATGTTAATTTTTACTTTTGGTTGTATGCAAGCAAGGTTGTGGAGTTTGTACCTTTTAGGAGAAGGTATCAAAATGTGGGATGCAGAATGTGATGTGCAAACCATGATATGGTAAGTAGCAGATTGAATTTTGGGTGCTGAGTGAGGTGTCACTAAAGCAGCCAGTGAGGAAATGCTTGGGACAAATATGTGTCAAAAATAGTGTTTCTCTGTGGTAGGTGCCTTTACTCCTGTCTGCCAAGAGTGCTTTTTTTCTTATCTTTGCTTTCAGAAAGTAATGTCACTTATTCTTTTAAAAAATAATGGAGACAAGTGGCAATGTTGGTGACCTTGTAATAATCGTTTTTGTTAGAACACTGACCTTCAAAGGGGGAGATGAAGGTTTAAACCTCCTTTTTCAGACTGGGATTCAAATTCCATCTTCCAGAAGCACACACTATGCTTCTGTGTGCTGGGAACTCTTTAACTTCTTCCTGTTGAAGTTGTTCCTCTTTGCGGAAAGAGGGGTGTGTTCTCACTCCTTCAACTTCATCTAGCTGAATGGTAAAGGCAGTAATGGAAAAAAAGTCATAGGGTAGGGGAGGAGTAATTTATAGGGTGTTTGTTTTTTTTTTTAAATACAGTTTTCTAGTTTGAGGTTGTTACTGTATTTTAGCCTAAAGATGTGCTTTTGCCTGTGTGTGTGAGAATAGTCTTTTGGGGAGTAAAACTTAGACTTGTTTGAACTTTTCTTTCCTCTTCAACTCATGTTCATTCTTGTACAGATTGTTACATTTTGCAGGAAGTGCAATGCCCTTATTTCTTTGTCTTTAAAAGAAAGTAGCATTCCCTACGTTTTGAGAGGAATTGAAGAACAATTGCCTAACAAACATTTAGAGGAAATGAGTGGAGGAGGAACACTTAATTTGCGGATCCTATATGTGACTGAGGCGTGAACTTTTCATCGAGTTTAGTCATATGGTGCAAACACTTCTAAACTGTTTCAAATTTTATTACGTTACTGTCAAGATGGAGAGAGTTGTTGCCACATTGAGGATTAGGGAACAGTGTGAACAAGGCTTTCCAGATGTACAGTTAAGATTTTAGGTGTGTAAATGAAACTGAAATTCCATTTATAAGTGTTGGAATTCTTTGTGGGCTTAGATGTATTAAACTCAGTTGTTTAGGTACCCAGTCAATCATATTGGTTGAAGTACTGAGTTAGCTTTGTGCAGCCAGTCTTTTTAGGGAACCTAGAAGAAGTTGTTCGCTTCGGAGTTAAACATTTTTATGCCAGAAGACTGATTTGTGAAATGTGGTACTTACTAATATGAACATCTTGGAATTGCAGCTCTCAGAGGAAAATTAGTATCACACATTTGTGTTTAGTATTTCATTAGACTCTGCACTGTTATTTTGGTTTGTCACAGCTCTATCTACAAAATGAGGTACAGCAGATTTTAGATGTTGTTCTTTTTAATTTAATAACAAAGTGTTTTTCCATTAAGTAAACTTAGTTTTTGTTTTTCTTTGCAGCTTTCATCCAGTCAGATGGCATAATAGAAATGCTACGTTTTGATGAAGGAGACCTATTGCAGGTATGTAGTTGGAATAAATCATCTGAACTAGCAATGTTTCATCTCCTTTTTGATAGCTACTTTTTGAAACTCATAGGTGAGTGGATTTTTGAAAATAAGCAAGTGTCAAAATTAAGTAAGTCCAAAAAACTTTTGGACCTTCTAGAGTTATTTTCAACAGTATGCTTTGATGTGTCCTGAGGTTCTGGTTTCCTGATCTTTTGTGTTGGGAAACTGGTGGAGTTTACCACAGGTTCTGTCTGGCCTGTTTGTCCAGACTTTTTTTCCCTCAGAAAAAAACTGGGGGATCTTTTGTGTTTAAGACTCGTTTTCACATAGAGTTGGGATGCAATTGGATAGCACAACTAGAGGAACTGGGAAGTGTTGCAAGACTCCCAAATGTAAAGGCAGCTCTTGGGACCAAATCGCCACTGGGTTTAAAGAAAGTTCAAATTACTGCAGTGAGGTAATTGCTATTCCAAATACAGATTTTTGGGGGGTATAACGTTGCCATTCTTGTCAGCTTTCTTTCAGTGTGAGTGAAAACAGATGAAAAGTTAACTTTAAAGAATACGTGCTGATATTTTGAGAGGGTGGGAGTAGTTGGGATGAAAGACGTAGCAACATGGCTTGATACTTTAGAGCTACATAGTTCTGAAGTTCTGTTGACTAGAATCTCATACGCATGCATTTTGTGGTTTGTATTTATGTTGAGAATATCTTTTGTTAAAGTTCCTTGATGATGTTAGTCCTGGTAGTTGAGAGGGAGTAGAGGAGAAAGAAGAAAGCAATTGTTTAAATTATTAGAACACATGGCATGTGACTATGTTTAACTTAATTAGTTACCAGTGCAGTGCTTGATTTACAATTCCTACCTCCTGTCTAGTCTAGAAGAGTCAACAAATGTAAAAGCTGTATAGTTCTGGGCTTGTGATAATATTATTTGTTTCAGATTTATGAAGGTGTTCCCCCCCCC